AATTCATGCAATCGTGCCCACTATCCTTTAGACTGGAGATAATGCAGGCATGGTGAAGTGCGGCTGAATCTTAACTACGAGTGGAACCTAAAATTTAGTCAAGACGCCGAGGGGAAAATTGACCTGTTCCATTTTAGTTGAGAGGTTCAGTATGTGCATGTTTTTTCAATGTGTTGAAGCACACATTTGTGGCAAAATTTTCATTTGAACCTTTAAACATGTTTATGATATGCACAGGGACAGGGCTAAGAAAATTTAGCAGGTAAAAGATTATGGGCCCTATTTTAACGACCTGAAAAGCAAGTATCAAGTAACTTTGTGGGCGGGTCTTGGGCGCTTGTTGCTATTTAACCAGTGGGATAAATGACACAAATCTAAAAGGGGTTGGTCTGAAGTAGAGGTCTTCTCGGGTCCTAAAAACTCTACCCGACCCGAATTGACGCGAATCACTACTTACCCGAACCCGACGTGTATAAATGATTTTTTTAAAAAGAAAAACCCGACCGAGACAGACCCGATAAAATTATACCCGAGTCCGACCCGACCTGACGCCATTTCCTTTAGAACCCGACTGGACCCGAACGTAAACGCCATTTACAGTGTGCACAGCCTGCAGCCCTGCGTTTCTCAAAAATGCGCTCAACATAGACGCGCAAGTGCACGCTGAGTGCTAAAATATCAATCACACATCACTGTAACCCTTTACGTCCTATAACATTTGGCATAATGTTATTTACCGGACCACGATGATTAGAACCACCACAGGGTAAAATTTACCGATGGCTGTTTTTAAAATAGCCTACAGATTTTTATTCAAATTGTACCAGTCATTGACTTTTACTAAAATTGTGTTATTTAGCCTACAATACCGTTGTTGCAAAGTTGTTTGGATAAAATGCGATTAAAATAGGGCATTAGACCCACAATAGCAGTCAAATTGGACGTTCAAATCTGAATCAAATCTGTCTTTTTTCCTTCCTTATCAACAATGATCACAAATCATTGTTGATAAGTATTACCCTGGATGTTTCTGTTCTACATATTCGTTTTCCCTCACCTTTTTCGCAATATCTGTTTTATCGTCTCCATGCTTGTCTGACAGTGTCGCGTATTTTTAAAATTAATTAACAGGCCTGGCTAAACGACAATTCAAATACTTGCATGTAGTCAAACATCCCTCCACATGATGGCGCACTAGTTATTTTTTGCAAACGGAGGGGTTGGTTTTTGTGGAGCGATCAACTGAGTAAATAAATGCGGAGGCAACCGTGCTGCGGATTCGCTCACTTAAAAAAATTCAGAACGGTCATAGAGTTGTTTTAAATGGCGCAATTTTGTTAAATGCCCAACATTGATTAAAACAATTCGGGTCTTCTCGGGTCCATTTGGAAAAGGCATATTTATTTTAAGTTACCCGAGACCCGAGGCCACTAATACCGAACCCGACCCGTGTCCGAGACACTCGTCGGAGTTTTGGACCCGAACCTGCTCGGGTCTCGGGTCGGACCTCGGGTTTTCGGATCCAAGTGGACCCGTGAAGTCTGAAGTAGCTTCATTTTTCATAGGTGTGGTTTGGGCGTAACAGGAAACAAACCAATAAGAGCGTCATATCACATTCCCTTTAAGAGCATGATGAACGAGGTGCGCTTGTTCCATGGCTCAATACTATAATAACGGTGCATTTACCAGGTTTCACAATCGGTTCACAGCCGAGGAGATCGATGTTCTCGTCAGGGCCGTAAAAGAAAGAGAAGTGACATTGGGAATGGGACCACCCAAATTAGCTTCGGTTAAACATGTATATGATAATTGTTGTTGTTCGTTGTTCACACACTGTATTATGGCCAAGTATGCGCGCTTAAAATAGCATCTGAATGTACGCGCAACGCGCCACTGACTTTAGTCTAGTTTTTTTCTGGTCAGTGGCGCAATTGTTTTCTGGAACTGCAAAATAGCACCAGGGAATGTTTGCACCGAAACATGCCTCCTTTTATTGCGCCGACCTGCCCAGGGAGCGCAAGTTCATTACCTCAGCGGGAGGGAAAAGCCAAAATAGGAATGATACATGCGTTGGTGTATGAAGTCATTTGCGCCGATTGCAAGATTGTAGGCCCATTGTAGTTATTCATTTCATTTATCAACCCCTAAAGGAGAATAGGAAGATCACCAAGAGAGCCGGCACATTTCAAACAACTGCTTCCATGGACCAACTTTTGGAAAATTCATATACCATACTGACTGGCCTTTGTGGGGCAATTCTTATTTCTAAGCTAGAGGGAAAATTAAGAGATGAAACCTGTCATCGGGATGATTCCACTCTGAAAAAGGACAAGACGGTTGGTGTTGGGGGTTTCTGCTCAAGGGGGTGGGACTTTGGGGGGATAGAAGATCAAAGCGACTAAAGCTGATTTATCCTGTGTTAGGGCTCAAATGCCTCTGAGAGGCATTGAACAGGCCTTCAAAAAGCAATAGCAGCCACCTTTATATCCAGCCTGTGCCAGTCATCAGGCTTGCCAGTGAAGCAAAATCAATCTGTTTCATATCAGAGATACCAGGGGAGAAGGAGAGAGAGTGTGTATGTGAGTGTACAATCTGTCCCCAAAGCTCTTTTTAATGACACATGCTGCATAACAGAGCAAGGATAGAAAAATGTTCAATAAGGCAAACATGCTGTTATCGGGATATGAGGACTAATATAAAAAGGCTCAGATGATACAGAGGGAGTTGTCGGTCAAACATGCTGTAATTTCTCTTTTCAGATTCCCTTCCTTTTCTGCTCAGCATGGACACATTTACTTGGGCAGAAGTCCTTCAAATTGTCGCTAACAAAAATGGTAAAAGAACCACCCAAGCTATGTTTGTTGACAATGGTTACAAGCACTTAAGAATGCACATTTAATCAGGCAACACACTGTCTTTTAATAATAACACATCACAATATTAATTTAACTAGGCGGCATGTCAATCAGGTGACCCAACCAGGAGATTCTTTCTAATCCATGACCGCATGCAGATTGAAATGATTAAAGAAATGCGCCTGGAAGAACTATTTAATCACATTAGCTCTATAGACTTAATAACCAGTGACAGAAAGCCCTTGTGGAGAAGGTTTCTTGAGGTTTAGAAGATCTCTTCCTTTGTTTTTCTTTGAACAGGTGTGGTGACCTTTCAACCACTTAATGAGATTATGAGAGTAATTAGAACTGAAGCCACCGAGGGTCCCAACAGTCAACCCGCTTGAACTCGAGAGAATAACCAGTGTCCATCTGGGTGCCACCTCGGAATTAGAGTAAGAAACGTAATTAAGTCCTAATGCATGGATCCTCGACTACCCTAGGGACTGCAGGACGTGTCCATGACAAAAGCAGCATTAGGTACGTAGCGTGCACTGCCTAAGTCTGTCAAAGCAGCACATACTCTAGGATTTGGAGTTGGGGAAGAAATCCCCTGCAACTATTAAAGTCACAATGGTGTTGGATTGCTCCTGTGGTGCTACTCTGAGCTGTTCATTTAGGATGATGTGCAACTATTGGGCCTGACCTAAGCACACTCTTCATCTCCAACATGGCCACCGAGAGGAAGGCAATAAGGGACCCAAGGAAACCCAATGGGCGCCTAGGGAGCGCTAAGGCTGGCCACTCACAGGGAAGCCAAAAGACAGCAAAGTGTCAGAGTCAATGCGAACACACACCTCTACAATGGCAAAATCAATGAGGCTTTATGAGGCATAAATCTCCTCTACAAAGCCCTGCTTGTCTACTGCTGCGATGGACCATTTTGATGTGGGACTTTGACATTCGCCATTTTCCAAAAATAGCTTTTTTGGGGATTTTGTTGACCTATCCCAGATGGTTTATCTGATTCCCTTAAAGATTCTTTAATCTGCCATGTGGTCAAATTGGGAGCAATTTTTTCGTTACTAAGGGTCATTGATTTTTTAACGTCCTTTGGAATGGCAAAAGAATGTACTCTTAGATGTCTATTTAGATCAGGAATGGACAATTCTGCTCCTGGAGGGACACCGTTCCACAGATTTCAGCTCCAAATCTAATCAAACACACCTAATTTTCCAGCAATCCTCAAGACGTTGTTCAGGCGTGTTTGATTAGGGTTGGAAATTAAATATGAGGACCAGAGTTGCAGATCCCTGGTTTAGACTATGAAAGAATCACAAGACCATCGTTCCCTAGAAAAATACCTATTTGGCTCTATTTTCAAATCCAATAAATCCTCCACCATGTTTGTGTGGGTGATTTCAATAGACAGATCTATTTACAGTAAACAGCAGATCGCATGCTAGAGACTCGGAACCAAGGTACTTGGCAAGTGTCCTGCAATATAATTGATTGTTAGGCAAGTTGTGCATCCTCGGCCAACCTTGCTCCACCTCCCCCCTCCCCAACATCCATCTCGATGGCATTTACACCTTTTGTTTACAATACGCCCCTTGATTTGACCAGACATCAAGTTGGGGGTTTGGGGCTCAGGGCTCCCGTTCCAATATCTAAGCTAATTACTTTTTAATTTACAGTGTGTCGTTAATGGTCTTGGCAGGGGAAGCAAGGTTAGACAGGCAGCAGAAGCCACTTCCCTTCCGTTCACCAGCATCATGGCCTCCTTAATTAAAATGAATAATCTAGGCATCCATCAGCTAGATGGAGTGAGAGAAAAACAATTGTGAAGATAGGAAGGTAGGTAAAAACCCTGCTGAAAAGATCAGCTTAGGCTAGCACCAATTTCAATGAATTGCTATGGTGGTTTAGCTGGTGGATTTTATCTCAACCTTCCCGACGTTTTCTGAAAATAATTGAATGAAAAAGTCTGGAAGCCTGGTGGGGAAATCAGTACAACAGGATCTCTTTAGGTAACAGCATTCAAAACACAACCAGCGCTGGCCAGTTTTGATGGTCTTTTCAGCAAGGAGAAAGGAGAATAGAGAATAAATATTACAAAAGAAGTTACAAAAGCTACATCAAGAAAAAAAAGAACAAGACAACTACCTCCACGGCTCTCGCTGTCAGCTGGCTTCACCTGGATGGGGCGAGTCATCTGGAAGAAGAAAAACAGTACAGACAAGACAAGGGGTTAGTTCAGGCAACGAAACTGTTGTCACTGCAATAAGCCTACAGCCTGTTGAGCTTACGTCCAACACAAAACAATCCTGTCTAAATTTTCATGAAGTGCAAATATCCCATACGTCAGTTTGCAGGGTACTCATTGTCCCTTAAACATACGAAATACAAGAGTGGAGATTTGTACCAGCAAAATCTCCTATTTTTGACGTGCTGCACAGTTCTAGACACTTTATTTTATCCATCTCAAATAAATATATTTACAAATGCCATGTGTGTGCATTGATTGCAGTTTTATTCATGCCTTTAAAATGACCTCTGATCATTATATAAGTCCATGCGCACCGAGTCAAAATCCTATAGCATGTTTGATTTATATTGCCTGGTCCACTCAGTGGTCATTAGAGACCGAATTGTGTCGGTACTACCGAGTACCAATTCATATTAAATCAATTGGTGCCAAATTTCGGTAGTATTCGGTAATTTCGGCAGATTTAAATACGAATCCTGCATGTTCTACACACATGATATGCTTGCAGTGTTTTTCAGACTCTGCAATCTCACTATATGAGAACATGAATGCATTTCCTGAGCCGCTCTGAGCGTTTTAAGAAAAACTATCGTTATCATTAACACATGGAAACTCAAAGGTCTTCACAACAACCCGTCAAAATAAAAGTTTGGTATACTATATTACTATTGTACAGCACAATTACTAACACTAATAATAATAGATTATTATCAAAAAAAAATTAAGGAATAATCACACTTAAAATTGTAACAGTAGGCTATAAAGCTCAACTGTGTCGCATGTAAAAGATACATTAAATTAATGTTTTATGTCTTCATTTGATTACTAGAAAACTCACAACACAGAATTTGTGGAAAATAACACATTACTTATTTATTTTTACAAAAATTGTTGTTTTTATTAATATTCAAGCATCACAGACAATGGCAGACAGTGACCAAGGCGGCTCTGGCATAATGTCAATAACATTTCTACAAATGAGGTAAACATGCCTAAAGTACGGAAAAAAAGTACCTTTGGCTACCGGCACCAAATTTCAGGTCAACGTCGTGAATGGTACCCAACCCTAGTGGTCATATCAGTTACTATATAGCTCCTCATCTACTTACATAAATAAAATAATAAAACATATAATAAAATAACACAAAATAAGCTTTTTTTTATCTCAAAGTCCATTTACTCTTCTCAAAAAGTCTCTAGTCTGATCAGCAAGTTGTTTTATGTTTGCTTTGCCGTGCATGCTTGGTTACAGTGTCTAGCACGGAGAAAGTGAAATGCAACAACAATTAAAGTGGAGGCAGCCACAAGAGAGAGAGAGAGAGAGAGAGAGAGAGATCAATGAAGCCCTATTGATCCCTGCCCCTTAGGCTGTGGAGAGTGTCTGGAAAGGAGGGATTCGGTGGGTAGAAGGCTCACAGTAATCTACTAAAGCCTGATAAGAATGGCATTTGTTGGATTAGATGCCTCTGTCATCACAGTTTTTGTGCTCCGTATTTTGCTCGACAATTTTTCCCCCCCCATTATCCCTGCAAAGGTTGAAGCTTTCTCGGCTGGTTCTTATTCTACGAACTTGAGCCAAACAGAAAGAAAATATATATTTTTTGTTTGTTTGTTTGTTTTTTTTCATCTTCTGCCCGTCGTTCAAGGATTCAAAAGGATTTTGCTGTAGGATCAAAGGATGTTCAAAAGGTTTTTCTGTGCTCCCATTTATTCTTACCTGGGGATGTAATGTAGAACGGAGTATTGTAAGTGCCGACAGTTTGATTATTGGAGCAGCACAGCAACTTACAAAGCAATTTGAGTATATATACATATTAGGGATGCACTGATATGAAAATTTTGCCCGATACGATAACCGATAATTCTTTATATTTGAAAGCCGATAACCGATATATCGGCCGATAAATTTCAATCCAAATTTTTATCTAATTTTGAGAGCCTGATTACAAAAACAAAAGTCTCACAATCAAATCCATGTCCCAAGCGCACAATTATAATGATGTTCTCATTATAGTGTTGTATAGCTAATATTAAAGATTTGCGCTGTACATGTTGTACCGAACCGTATTTTCATTTTCAAAAACATAAACAGTGCTCAGCAAACGTTTAAGCTGAAGGGAATAATACATTAATTATCGGCTTTAATATATCGGCCACATTTTCTTACCAGGCCCATAACGATAACATTAAAAATGAACATATATCGGCCGATACCGATATGCTGGCCGATATACCGTGCATCCATAATATATATGTATATATATATATATATATATATATATATATATATAGGAAGAGTTCAGATGCAAAAGCCTCTAAATGCCATTTGAAATTTTCTTCTTTAATGATGATTTTTATCAAACTTGTATATTTAAGTTCAGTAATTTCACTTAAATAACAATTAATAGGTAATCTTCATTGCCATTTAAGTGAAATCACTGAACTTAAATATACAAGCTTGATAAAAATGATCATTCTAGAAGAAAATTTCAAATGGCATTTAGAGGCTTTTGCATCTGAACTCTTCATATATATATATATATATATATATATATAATATTTTATAGCATATTTTTTTGAATCAAGGCCAATACCCCTAAACGGTTGTCTCTATGAAATAGATATTTATTTCTCAATTTTAGCCGTTAATTACAGTCATTCAGCATTACAGTATAATTGAAAGGCTTTTAAAAAATATAACAACTTTTAAATGTAAGTGAACTTGAATCAATCTTCATATAAACTCATTATAATAAATGTCACATTTACCTTTACCCTTCAATACATCAGATTTTTAGATAGGTCCAACAGTGGGATATATACAGAAATTGTCTTCACTGCATAAATTGTGAATTAAATATAGATTAAACCTTATTAAAGCTATAAAAGTTATTCAGGCAAAAGCAATGAGTGATTTTATCTGTCTTTTATCCATTGATTAACATTAATGACATCAAAGCAGCAGGTTTATTAGGCTGCTGTCACTTTAAGAGCTGCCGCATATCACGCGGATCTGATCCACATTTTCTCACATATCTTTATGACTTTTTTTTTTAAGACTGTGCTTGCAGGGATATGGCATTTTGACATATATTGTATGTGTTTTTGTAAGTTCAAGTGATGTCTAAAGCATCTTTATGTGCACACAGACAGATTCACAAACTTGCACCAGTACCAGTTTGTGTCTTGTAGAGCATGCATGGTTTAAAATCATTTCCATTAATATGAGTTTAATTACTATTAAAGAAAAAAATCTGTTTAGGATGATAAAAAAAATCCATCCTGACATCTACATTAGCGTTTATTTAGTGATATCACTGCAAAGTATATTAACCCATATATTACCAGTTATAAAAATAATAATCATAAAAGCTGATAGTGTTTTAAACTTAAGTTATATTCGAGAGGACTTTCTTTAATTGTAGATAAACAGGACAGATCCTGTCCTAAAGGCCTACTTTACACTATAACATCCATTCCCCAGCATCGTAATCCAATGGGAGCTTTCTATCGATCCAAAACAAACTGCTAATAGCAACACAGCAGGCCCAGTTTGGATGAAAAAGGGCCAAGAGCTGTGCAGAGATTTGCGACAAGATTACCCAAATTTGCAAAGCGCCCTTTGCAGGCTCCCCAGCCATCTGTAACCTGAAATTAAGCCTTCATGAAGACACCGATTCGAAGGCCTGGGAAACGTTTGAGAGATGGCAGGATCAACATTTTGCCTTTCTCCTCAACATATTTTCTTTTACTGTCCAACCGAAAAAAGGTCAGTTTTAAAGACAGGCCGGTACCATAAAAGCATGACTTGTTCAAGGAGAAACACCATAATGGGATTTTAAAAAGCTTTAATAACATGCTGATATATGAGGAAGAGAGCCAGGCCAGATTCATTAAGTGTTAAACGTATCCATTTTCACCTTGAGGAACTGAATAACCTTCCTCTGAGAAATTATTCCATAAATTTATCCATCGTAAATAATAACTAGCATGGAAAAGGCGAAAGATGTAATTCTTCTGAAGGTCGGAGTTCAGTAGCTTTGTCTTGCACTAGAATTAGAAATACAGCAATGCGCTATGATAGTGTTGCACTGCAAAAGTTTCTCCATTGCAAAGAACAGCATTTTTACTCGGATGTTCTCAAGCGTAAAGACAAAAACAATCCAATAGACCTAACTGTGAGATATACCCATCTCAAACAAATCATTTGACAAACACAAACAGTTGCCCACATTAGCATTTATAGATACTTTGCAATATGCATGCAACACTGTGGACGGGACGTCTGGTAATAAAGGAGATTTTGTTTTGCAAGGGAACACATTCAGAACTACCCCATGTAAACTCCATCAGTGAGATGCATTTCTAACACGTTGGACTTTTGTGTAAGGTTTATGGATTCACCTCTCTAACTAGTCACTGTCCTGGTCATAAAATGCTGGCGTAATGGTCCATTTGTTTTCCTAAGAGCAATGCGTTTCTCCCTTGTACATTTAGTATCGACGGAACTCAGTTTATTGCATTTTTCTCACCTCTAATGGGATGCCTTACACTTGAGGTACACACATTTACACACACACAAATATTCTCAAAAATACTGTATACTAGGCTATATATGTATGTTCATTTTAAACAAATGTGGGAACAGATGGAGTTATGGTTAACAAAATGCTAAAGGCTTAGCCTGTGAATAATATTTAGATGATATGCAAATAATGAAAGCAAAATTATAATAGAACACATATTATTATGAATAAAATATATTAATAATAAATCACAATCTTTGAATGTTTTGACAAATAGTCTATGGTATCTGTAGTAGAGTATTGGTAAAATACTTTCTTACTAATATTATAATTAGGAAATCATTTAAAAAATGTGATGTGAACTAAAATGGACTGAACTATTATTACTGTAAAAAATAATCGTGATTTTAACAGTAAAAG